AACAAAATCCAACAATACTTACTTGAGTTTCATCATCATCATCTCTGGTCCAATTATCATTCTTTCTTTTTGATTCCATTACTTTTGATTACACTATTTGTAAGACTTGTGAGGAGTTGAATGAAATCGATTTTCACTAGGGAGAGATGAAGTATATAATGTGAAATTTAACGCCAAGTCTTATGAGGAGTTAATGAAACTAGATTTGGTTAAGAGAACTGGAACGATCGATCATGTATTGCTTCTTTCTAAGCGACACGTGAGACTTATGTGTAAAATACACTTTACTAACCTTGTTCAATTATCATGTTTCATATGTTTGTTAGTTTAAATATGAATATTATAAGATATTATGTGGGTTTAAAGGTTTAAAGTAGGTAGTTATAATATAATAGAATTGTAAGCGTTAAAATTACTATTTTTCGGTATGGTTTTAAGCGTTGAGTTCTAACGAAATAGTTTTATAAGATTTGAAGTTTTATTTTTAAAACTAAGTTTAGAATCATTTGGAAGGTACTGGAAGTGTTGTGAGAATTCTTTTGTGATTCTGATCAAAAAGTCAACTATCAGAATTAAAGAAAGTATAACGTCTAAGTTGGAAATAAGTAGAACTGATTTTATTGGAAGATATTTTCTGTGATATTTTTATTGGAAGTTGTAAATTATCTCTTTAGACACGTATAGACAAAACCTCATCGAAACGGAGTTCCGAGCGAAAAGTTATTCAATTTTTAGCGTTTAGGGGTAAAACGGGTCAAACCCGACCCAACTCGGGTTTTTCCCCATTAAAACACGATTTCCGCTTATTTTTTCTGCCATCTTCAGTTCCTCACCATCCCTATGGGATATTTTCACCTACATGATCAATCTTGAACAAGTTTTGAAGATTAAATCAAGATTTCGAGTGTTCTTGAAGTATTAAGTCTAGTAATCAAGGTATGAACTCTTAACTTTTGGATTAACCCTTGTAATTAGTCAGTTATTAAGAGATTAGGGTTTGATCAAAGTGGTTTTACCACTGATTTCATGAAATTAGGCATAAGTTTATGTTATTAGCCTAGAATCTTAAATGGAAATCAAGTAACTACATATAAACTTGAGAATTAATCATGGTTTAAGTGTAATTAGTGAAAATTAGTAATGAAACCAATGGTTTATACTTGAATCCGCATGGATTACTAGATTATTCAGTGTTATCATTGGAAAACAAGAATTTAGTGATATTGATCATGAGGTTTGATCATGTAAAGAGTAAAATGAAATCATAAAGGGTATAATTATTCTGTTTTTATAAAAATCACCAAAAATTGTAGAAAAATCATATGGATATGTGTTATACATCCCTGGAAAGCTGAGAATGTCTACTTTGATTGTTGTTTTAACACCAAAATCTAACTCCGAACTTAAGATGGGTAAAAACGGCTATATGTTCAATGCAGTAAGGCTGAATTTTGACAGCTTTGGGATGTTGTGTTGTAAAATTCATTTTAAATTATAGAAAAATCATAAAAACGTGAGTTAATTGGAATTAGAAAGATATAGGAGTTTATTTTGTTACTATTTAGAAATTTATTAGTTATTTTGATTTTTAAGAAGGGAAAAACAGGTCTGCAAGTGACAGCTATACAAAGAACAAAAACTAAAATTTCTAAATTGAAAACAACATAACTTGAGATTAGTTGAGTAATTGCTTATGAAATTTGAAATATGAACTCCAGGAGTATAATTGAAGGTTTTAGAGGCCCGAGGATGGTGTAATTTCATCAGAATTCAGAATTCTATCGCAACATTCAGTTACAGCACAATGAGTTCAATATAGAGACAACTGTATGTTATGTGTTATATGTGCAATGTGATTTCTTATGTTATTGATCTAAGTGGTCATTACTTGATATCAGATTTTGATGCATTTGGCCATGTAGAGCATGACTCGTATCACTTTGGTATTGGCTTCGGGCTAGGTAGGGCTGAAAGCATGTATATTCTAGCAACATGATAAAAAGGAATTGTGTTTTATGTGTCACTTGGGCTGGAATTTATGATGTTTATGATCCTAAATTATTGTGTCTCATTTATTGTAATTCTTTGAATCTAACCGTTGATTGATATGGGAAGCCATTCATTTGGTACACATATAAGCCTTTGTTGTCCTTTGTTTCTTTTTGTTCCTTTCATATTGTTCTATATATGGCATAACATTATATTGTATCTATTTTTGAACTCACTAAGCGATGCCCGCTTATCCCTCTTAGTGTTTAACTATTTCAGGTGATAAGCATCCAAAATAGACAGACTTTGTTGGAGGACTTAGAGTAGTTGACACTACTACGTTTGTACTTGGTATACATATATGTATATGTATTACAAATTCCTGGGTAGTTATGCATTTATACAACTAGTTTTATGAAACTTTGTAAAAACCCTGTTAGTTGGTTTATATCTATGTTTTTGTATTTAGACCACTAATGTAAATTATAATTATGAATATGCATGTAGCATTTTTGACTTTGTGGTAATTTTAGTGTTGGGGTCTTTCATTATGAGAGGAAGAGGTGGAGTACGTGAAGCGTTACATACAGTTTATGGGAGAAAGGGACGCAACTGATATTTGGTTAGACCGTAAAAATGATAAGGATAATTAGAAAATAGATTTGATTTTTTTTTTTAAATCAGATCCAAAACCAGTTTTTACCCGGAACCGACCGGATCGAACCGATAAAAATACAATTTTGATCAATTTCTAGAACCAAGAATTGACCCGAGGGTCCAAAAAGGGTTAAGTCGATGCTTACACCTAGACTGCGCACCTCCAACAGTCCAACTCGATCCCAATGGACTCAAAGATTTCGCTTGTTAACAGTCCTATGTTTACAATTTATATCATATAGATTTTGTAGGATAAAGTAAACCCAGCTCAGAATCAGATTAGTGATTTCATGGTGCAACCCGGCCCATAACCTGTTTCAGTCCAACATAAACATCATCGTCTTCAGACGACTTGGGTCAATTCTGCTGCTACTGTGAGAGAAAACGAGGGTGAACATGGAGGTTTTCGTAGCCAGATCTCGTTTAACCCTAATTCCCTTACTCCTCGCCTTGCTCTCCCTAAGTTTCGGATCGTCTTCTTCACTCACATCTTCATCATCGGAGCTTCAGATCCTCACCGCTGAACGCAGAGTAAGATTTCTCATAATAAAATCCTTCATTTCTGTAACAAATTCACTCGTTATATTTTCACACCCTTGTCGATCCGTGTAAATTGATAGAGATTGGAAAATTCATATTTTCAACTGCTTGCTAGTGCATTCCCGAAACGATCGAATTCTTAAGACGAGTTGGTAATTGACGAGTGGATTGAGATTATAAGTGATTGAGGTGTTACATCTCATGAGTATGATATTGTGGTTATGAATTTGTTGTTCTATTTCCTAATTTTTGTTAGCATCTTTCGTATGGATGTATAGCTTTAATATCTTGATTTATGCTGGTGCAGATTGATTTGGCTTCGCACATTATTAGGGTTGTCTTGACTTTGAAGGTACTCTTCTGTTACTAGAACCTATTGCCTGTATTATATGTTATGCCTCCAAATGAAGAAGAAAGACGCACGTTATATAGTTCTGAGAGCCTATAACTGTGTAGATACAACCTACTTATCTGACATTACATCTAAAAGTTATATTATGATCGCATATGATATTCTAGGTACAAAATGATGGGGCATCTCCTGCTAAAAATGTACTTCTTTCATTTCCACCACCACAAGTGAAGCATCTAGCACTTATCCAGGCTGCTGAGCTTACTGGAAAAAAGAAGAAGAAAGCTGTACATCCACTTGATGTGACACCAAGCAACCATGCAGATGGGCCAAATGGAGCCAAATTCTTCTCTATTTCTTTGAGGAATCCATTGACAACTGGTGGATCTGTCTCAATAGAAGTATCATATATATTGACCCAATCTCTTGAACCTTTTCCTGTAGAAATAAGTCAATCAGAACCCCAATTAGTCTTATACCGTGACAGTGCTTTAATATTATCACCATATACAATTAAACAACAAACAACAGTCATCAGAACACCAAGCACCAAAGTGGAATCATTTACAAGAGTGGAACCTTCATCCCAAATACGCACTGAGTTGAAGTATGGACCTTATGAGAACCAGTCTCCATATTCATATACTCCCATACTTGTTCATTTTGAGAACAACAATCCATTTGCTGTGGTTGAGGAACTTGTAAGAGAAATTGAAATATCTCACTGGGGTAACCTTCAAATCACAGAGCATTACACTTTAGTCCATAATGGTGCTAAACACAAAGGAGGGTTCTCAAGGTCATATCTCCAATAAGTTGTTGAATCAAACTTACTTCTTGTTCTTTTTTTAAATTACCTTTTGACATTTTTTGCTCTTGATCTTAATTGATTAATTAATTTCCAGGGTTGAATATCAATCTAGGCCAACTATCAGTGGTGTCTCTTCATTCAAACACCTTGTAGCTAAATTACCCCCAAGGGTTCACTCTGTGTATTACCGTGATAACATAGGCAATATCTCAACATCACATTTACGCACAAGTTACAGCAAGGTGATTTGGTTATTAACTTATTATATCTCCATTTTCATTTCTTCCCATTTATATAAACTTTACACTAAAATATTCATTTATGATTTATGTAGTCTGAACTTGAAATAGAGCCACGATATCCTTTATTAGGAGGTTGGAGAGCCACCTTTGTCATTGGATATGGACTCCCACTTCAAGACTTCCTTTTTGAGTCAAATGATGGTAGGCGTTACCTCAACTTCAGTTTTGGGTGTCCTATTGCTGAAACAGTGGTAAACAAAATAACAAATAAGGTACATAATCATTAAATTTTTAATCTTTAAGATTTTCTTGTTCATTGTTCTTTGCTGCTTTTGTTAATTAAGAAGAATGCTATTTCAGGTTGTCCTTCCTGAAGGATCAAAGAACCCATCTGTTATCGTTCCTTTTTCTGTAGAACACCTATCAGAGGTAGCTTCTGTTTTCTACTATATCTAAAAAAGTTGATAATTTGTAAACTAAATCATCATTGTTAATCTCTACAGACAAAGTATACTTATCTTGATATTGTTGGAAGACCAGTGGTGGTTTTGGAAAAGGAAAATGTAGTTCCTGAACACAACTCTCATTTCCAGGTGATTAAAAACCACTTTTTTATTTTCTTTTACTATTTCTTTTATGCCCATTTAACTTTTGTTTTTTTTTTGGTTGGTTGTTTTTGCAGGTTTACTACAATTTCCACCCGATGTTCATGCTTGCAGAGCCATTGATGTTGACATCTGTTTTCTTCTTTTTGTTTGTTGCTGCTGTGGCTTATCTTCACATGGACATCTCAATAAGAAAATAAAGAGACCATGAGGAATTAGATTATATGTAAAATTAGACATGAGGCAAACCAACCATGTGACACACTTAATACACATCTAGCTACAAAAGATTAAAAAGTCCCAACATTTTTCTTCAAATAGTTGAGGCTTTAAATTTTAACAACCAACGTGTTTTTGGATGAAGGTGGCGTGGTTAAAAATTGGAATTTTGCTACATAAAACATGAGATGTTTTTTTTTACAAAATGGTTACTTTGAAAGTTAGGAGGTGTTTTTTTGCTAAAATGTGAGTCATTGTGGACTTGTAGTACAAATTGTCCTTCTCAAATTATTATTCTGAAACAGACTTTTTGGATAAAGGAATGGTTAACTTTGAATTATGGGATTTGACAAGGCAAAAGATTTCAATAAATTGATGTGACTGTTGGCATATGTCTTGTTTTTTGTTTTGGATGTATATGTGTATGGTTGTGGCTAGGTTGGGCAGTATGGGCTCACTAGATCAATGGTCCACACTTTGTTGACATTTAGCACGATCAATTATTAGAGTTCAATGAACCATGGTCCATTATGGTCCAGCCTTTGGTTTGCTGGGTTAGTTGCATTTGCGTTTGCATTTGAATTGCACCACTCTCATAACTTTTCTTTCTCACCTTTGACTTTGACCAGCTTCTGTTTGTATCACAATTCACACACCATTGTCTTTCTTGTCAACTGATCATTTGAGGTAATGATTATATTTTGTTAAATTTATCCCATGATTTTATCTCTTTATATTGCAACAAATTAAGTGCAAGTTTTTAAGGACAACAAATAAATAAGACGACAAAGGTTGTTTATATATCCAGGTTCCAAACAATGTCCGGTGTTAGCTAGTCAGACAGCTGTGGTTAAATGATTAACCGGGGATCTTAATAAAGTTATTTAAAATTTAATATACCACAGATCATCATCTAGTGTTTAAATGTTCATCTTCTTCTAGGTCATAATAAGTTTAATAATAAGTTTAACAAGTACCATAAATCATCATACTATATAAGTCCATAATAAATTTAATACGCTTAAAAAAAATGCAATGTGCGTGAGAGAAGATTATTTGATAAATCAACAATTTGTGAAAACTCGATAATATTTTCTAAAACCATTCCCCATATTTTTTCCAAAAGTTTTGACTATTCATTAAGACATTCCTTAAGAGCTTAATTCTCTACTTTTCCATAAATGTGCATATATACAAATCTTTGTTCGCACATATGTACATCAAATTTCTAGGTAAGGTTTCATTCATATGAATTTATTCATTCAAGGGATTTAGTCCCATTCCTCTTGATGACTTATAAAATGCATATCTACTCAAGCCTTTTGTAAGCGGATCCGCAATGTTATCTTTTGACTTCACCCAGTCAACCGTGATAACCCCCGTAGAGATTAGTTTTCGTATCGTTATATATCTACATATAATGTGCCTTAATTTTCCATTATACATTGTACTTTGAGCTCTACCAATTGCCGATTGGTTATCATAATGTGTTCATATGGCCGTTACTGGCTTAGGCCATTCGGGAATGTCCTCTACAAATTGACGTAACCACTCCGCTTCTTCTGTACAAATATCTAAGGTGATAAATTCAGATTCCATCTTAGATCTGGATATAACTGTTTGCTTGGACGATTTCCAAGCTACAAGTGTAAACACACATCCACCTGTAGATATGGAATCTTTTATTTGAGATATCCAATTTGCATCGGTGTATCCTTTGTAGGGATGTCAACGGGGGCAAATGGGACAGGGAGTGCATCTCCCGCCCCCGCCCCCGAAATTTCCCCGTCCTCCTGCTCCCGCCCCCGGAATGTTCAATGTTCCTACCCCCACCCTCGCCCCCGAATCACCTTTATTACCCCCGCCCCCGCCCCTGATTAATTTTGGGCTACTTTTTTTGGGCTAAAAGAAGTTGTTATTTAGGTTAAAATAAGCTATTTTTTAGGTAACAAATAATTATTTATAACAAAAATTTTAAATGTTAAAAATAAAAAAAGTTATGACATTTTAAAAAATTATACTAACAGCTTAAAAACATGTTTTTTGATGAATTTTGTAAGCTCAAAATCATGTTATAGTTTATTATATTTATATAATTAATATATGTAAATGTATGTGTAATTTATTAACGGGGTCCCCATGGGGATTTCGGGACGGGATTGCCTACCCCCGCCCCCGCCCCCGAAATTAAAACGGGGGTTAACCTTGCCCCTGCCCCCGTCCCCGCCCCCGATTTTTTTTAAAAAATCCCCCAAACGGGACGGGGCCCCCACGGGAACGGGGTCCCACGGGACTTTTTGACATCCCTAATCCTTTGATAACTGCTGGATGTATGCCATAATGCAGTCCATCTTCTTGTGTGTATCTTACATACCTTAGTAGCCTAATAATACTCTTCCAGTGTTCAGAACTGGGTTTACTAGTATATCTACTTAGTCTGATCACATCATATGCTAATTCAGGTTTGGTACAACTCATTAGATACATCAGACTGCTAATAATTCTTGAATATTCCACTTGATTAACACTATCACCTCTATTTTTACGCAGATGTTGACTAGTGTCAGTTGGAGTTCTAATTATGCTAGTATCTCCCTTAGCAAATTTTTCAAGACTCTTATCCACATAGCATGTTTGACTTAAAATCATACCATTATGGGTTCTGGTGATCTTGCCTCCAAGAATCACATCCGCTAAACCCGTATCTTTCATGTTGAACTTGGATTTCAGCATATCCTTCGTGGATCTTATCCTATAGTAGGCTACACTTCCTGATACAGACTTTATACATATATGAAGTCTTCATCCTTGGAATCCTCGTGTTGTTTTCTGCTTCATCAAGGATCATGTGAAATGCCATTGGCTTTGGTGATACATTTGGCCTTGTAGCCTCTTCTCTTCTTGGGCAGTTTTTCTTGAAGGGCCCTTCTTCACCACACTTAAAGCAGGCTTCTCTTTTGGTTGGGCATTTGTTGGCGTAATGACCAGTCTTCCTGCATTTAAAGCAGGTCATCTCTTTAGAGCATTCCCCAATGTGCTTCCTTTTGCACCTGTCACACCATTGTGCTCCTTCTTCGAGCTTCTTCGAATTAGACTTCGGAAATTTTCTCTTATCATCGGACCTTGAGGATCCTTCAATCTTTCTTTTCTCACCCACCTCGATTCTCTCCATACCCCTTTCCTTTAACTGGGTCTCCATATTTTTAGCTGCTCGGACTGCTGTCTTCAAGGTAGTTGCCATCTTGACCCTCAGGCCATAGGCGGCAGACAGTCCATTAGCGAACCTCTCAATCTTGGAGAGTTCCGTTGGCACTAGGTACAGAAATAACTTCATTTTCTCAGTGAATGCAGTAGCATAATCGTCTATGCTCATTCTCCCCTTCTTTAAGTTTTGGAACTTATTGTTCAGATGAATCAGATCTATCTCTGAACAATATTGCACCCTTAATTGTTCCAAGAACTCCTCCAATGACATTTTCAGGGCTTCTCCTCGTGGCATAGTATCTGCCAACAACTTCCACCAGCTCAAGACTCCAGTCTTCAATTGTCTAACTGCAAAGACAATCTTCTGTTTGTTTCTACAGTCGCAACTTTCAAATACCATCTCCATTTCGGAGATCCAGCCCATAATCTCTATAGGCTTTGGGTTCCCAAATAGACTTGGCGGTTTGGCGCACAATAAATTCTTATACATACGCCCATCCCTGTTTATTTCCCTTTCCGGGTCATTCCTTTCTGCCACTGGGGGTTCTGCTTGTCCAACAGTCCAACTGTGGTTACCTCCCTCCGAATGCCCTCCATTCACTTCGGGTTCTTTCACTTCAAGTGACAGTTCCTCACGATTCTGTTGGAGTAATCGCCTTGTCTCTTCCATTTGGCAATCCAACATAATCTACATCATCGCTTGCATCCCAGCCATCGTCATTGGCTCTGGTGTTGCTGTTACAACAGGTGCTTGCTCAACCACTGGTGGTTGAGGCTGTTGATTCCTGTTTTCATTTGCGTTTCCAACTCTGCTTCTTGTTCTTGACATTTCGATCTATACACCGAATAAGGTGAAATTAGATCCTCCTTCGCGATAGATATTATGATCTTCCATATCACTCCAAAATGTTTACATGCTAGTTCTAATATCGTAGTCATACGCTTAGAATCCTACACACATAACGTTTCCAGATCCGGTCGGCAATAGACCATGGATCCGAACAAATAATAGCATTGATATAACTATCACACAAATCATTTAGCACATAAAAGCATTTTAGGCATCATTCCTAAAATATACTAGTGCTTGTGTCAATTTAGGTGTACTACCTAACATGTTTTAGACACACTCCTCACGATTATTACTTAGCATTCTAAGTTTAAGTCTATAAATTTCCTACAAATTCCTAGTTCGCTTAAACTATTGCTCTGATACCAACTGTGACATTCCCAATTTCACGGCCAAAATGACCGATTTGTCTATGCTTTTTAAAAAAAAAAAAAAAACTCAGAGGAATCTTTCAAAGAAAACGGTTGCAGAATTTATTCCCAAAACAAAATATGATAAGAATTTATCAAAGCATTTCTTAAATAAATGTATTTTCATTATATAACAAAATCTCGGGATGTCATGTTCCGATACAGACTCATAAGCATAAATAGAACATACATTTATTTACACTAGTGATTTACATCTCCTTTAATCTCTTAGTGAAATATGTCTTTCTATTGATACCTGTGATACAAAGAAAACTGAGTGGGTCAGGCTTGCGAGCCTGGTGAGCATATAGGGTTTTCATCCCACAGTGTTATATCATATATTTATATATATAAAACATTCAAACTTGTACAATTTCACCATATAAAGCCAACTCTTATCCCACCACATCGATCCTCATAACGACACGATCTAAACTATCGTATCTAAAATTTTCCTCTTTACCTGATCCTTACTCACGGATCTAAAACTATCCTCTTCACCCGATCCAAACTCACGAATCTAAAACTAACCTTTTCACCTGATCTATACTCACAGATCTAAAACTAACCTTTTCCCCTGATCCATACTCACGAATCTAAAACTACCTGATCCATACTCACGGATCTAAAACTAACCTCCTTATCCAATCCATACTCCCGGATCAATAATCGTACCCAATCCATACTCCTAGAATATGGACAATTAACTATACCTTAATCCTGATCTTATACATACTCCCGGATCAATAATTGTGCCCAATCCATACTCCCGGACTAGGGACAATTAACTTAGTATTAATCCATACTCCCGGACTAATAACAAGTTTTATCTCTTTACTTGATCCATACTCCCGGATCTAAAACTAACCTCTTGGTCTAATCCATACTCACGGATCTAAAACTAGCCTCTTGATCTGATCCCTACTCATGGATCTAAAACTAACCTCTTGATCTGATCCATACTCACGGATCTCATCTACCCATGTCCTACCCAACATATTTGTAGTTACAATATACATATGCATTTTAACTCATTAAAACCCATATAGTTCATCCATTCCACCAACATCTCAAATAAACAACAATATATAACACATAGCACGTATTTCATAGCAAATACTTCATACTTATGTGTTAGAAAAAAGTAACTATACACTCACTCATAACATGGATATAATACATTCAACCAATACTTGTATTAAAATTGTGTTTATGAAAGGGAC